CCCTGTGCAGGGCCCTACCCTCCTCCAGAGCACTTAATCTTGGGGGTGGGGGTGAGGGTGAGGGTAGGGAGATGGACCCTTCACACAGCTTCCAAACCGGCTTGGCTGTGGGTTATGCCCAGTTTGAGCCCCAGCGTCATGCCCAGTGATGGTTTTCAAGCAAAGTAAATTTGCTCAGCACGTTTCTGGTTGGGCTTAACTTCTCTACTGCGTGACACCAAACGCTGGGTGAGGGGCTTGGCTGGCTGGCTGGAAAGTGGTTTGTTAAATCTCAGTGGCCCTTGGTTAGATGACCTGCGGGATGGACTGGGTTTTATGGGAAGGAAGCTGAGGGTGTGCTGTGAGCCTCAGCCTCTTGTGGTTTCTCTTGTACACGCTTTGTTGTCGCTGCAACTCAGCTGCACACAGCGCTGCCTGGCAGATGAGCTCTGGGCTCACCCTCCCTCCTGCCTTCCCTTTTCCTTCTCCCTAGTTCCAGAAGCGTAGGTGCCTACCAGCCTCAGGAGAGGCTGGGCTACAGGTCAGAGTCCTGAGGCCCTGGGCAAGAGCAGTTGTTGCTCTCCACTGGTCAGATTATCTGAGGATTAAAAACAGCAGTGAGGCAATGTGTTTTTCCAACAGATTATTTTTTTCCCTTTAATCATGTGCATTGAGCTGTGGAGTTTTCAGTCTGAACTCCATTAGCTCCCTGGGAGCAGTAGGATAACATATAATAATAATAAAGTTTAGCAAGCTTTTTGGTGAGCTCTTAAGGTGGCCTGCATAAGGGCAGTGGGTCCTCAGGCATTTTACCCTGCTCTGCAGGGTGTGATGAGGGAGAAATCATACCTTGGCTTCCTCTTGGTTGGCTTTACTCTGGGGAGAGGGAAACTTTGAATTCCAATGGCAGATTGTATTTAGAAACACTAGAATATGGTCATGTTTCAGTCTTCTTCTCTGCTGAGATGGAAGTTTGTGTTGCATATTATGGTAACTGATACTCTCAGAGTGCTTTCTGATTTATAAAACACGTTCAATAAATTATCCCATTTCATCCTCACAGCAATCCCACGAAGGAAGTATCATTATCTCTATGTCAGACGGGAGTCACTAAGCCTCTAAAAGGTTGAGTGACATTGGCTAGGCATCTTAGCTCTTGAGTGGTAGGGCTCAGACTCAATCCAAGGCTTCTGGCTGCAAAGAGGCAGGGGGCTGAGAAGGCGTGAGCTCATATTAGAAAGACTGGGATTCAGGTCCTGGCTGTACTTAACGAGCTGTGTAATTTTGGTCATATTATTTTTAAAACAATTTTTTGTAGCAGAAATTAAAACTCCTCTCAGTATGACCAAGCATATCAAATAAGCTATGGTTGCCTCTTCTTATTGACCGTGTTCCTTCATGAGCTCTGTCCTCACTCTGTTCTGGTCTGGTTGCTCTGCAGGCTGTTGAACAGTTGTCATCCTGGGATTTCTCTTCACCATCAACGCGGTCAACCTTTTGTCTCTCTCTTTCATTAAATTCTTTGTTTCCATGTCTAATTTTTCATTTACCTTTTGTTTTAGTGGAAAATGGGTCCCAGTATCTTTCTGAGAAAGGGTACACTGGTGGTAAATTTTATACATCTGATATCTTTAATCTGTTCAAGTAAGTTTATTTTCAGGATTGGTGGATAGTTTAGCTGGTTACAGAATTCCAGTTAGAAATCATTTTCCTTGAGAATTGTGAAGCCAATGTTTCATTGTCTTTTGTGTGCTGATGAACAGTCTTATGCCAGTTCTGACTCCTGATCTTTTGTATGTTGTATTTTTTTTTTATTTGAAATGGTTAGGATCTCCCCTTTGTCAGCAGTGTTCTGAAAGTTTTCAGTGATGTATTTTGGTAAGAGTCTTTTTATTCATGATGCTGGGCCCTGCCATCTGAAGACTCACATCCTTCAGGTTTGGAACATTTTCTTGAATGATTATTTTTAATTTATTTGCTTTTTTAGAGATTGAGTCACTGTTGCCCAGGCTGGCCATGAACTCCTGAGCTCAAGTGATTCTCCTGCCTCAGCCTCATGAGTAATTGGAACTGCAGTCATGAGACGCTGTGCCAGGTCTCGAATTAACTTTTTGATAATTGATTTTTCTCTTTTTTTTTCTCTCTTTTTCTTTTTCTTGAGTCTCTTTAATTTGGCTCTTGCACTTAATGGGTCCATTCTCTTATTTTTCTTAAGTCCTTTTTTATTTCTTGATCTTTTTGTTGTGTTTTCTAGGAGTTTGTTTTTGTTTTCTCAATTCTACTTCCAACCCTAATTATTTCTGTGATAATTTTACTTTCCAAGAGATTTTCATGATTCTCTTTGAGTATTTATTTTTCTTCATGTCATTCTATTCTTATTTTATGGATGCACCATTTTATTTCTCTGAGAATAATAATTTTCTTGTTTACTTCTGTGCTTTTAATTTTCTTTTTCCTCTACATTTCATCTTTCCATTGGTTTGTTCTGGTCTCTGTCATTTGTAACTGGTGAACTTTGATCATCTGTCTGTTTTGAAGAGCAAGGTACTAGCCCATGGACTGGCAGCTCTGTGAGTGTGTAGAGGGAGTGGAGAGTGCTTGTTTACTGGGAGAGCCTCACAGTGGAGATTTGAGCAGGAACTCAGCTGTTTCGATTGAGGATCTCCAAATCACTGTCTTTAGGTTGTTTTTCTTATGCTTCTCAGTTTCCCCAGAGGGAAATTCTCTAATCTCTTGTCTGGGGAAAAAGACTGGCAGGTCGCATTCCAGAGAAGGGAAGGGAGATGCTGGGGGCCAGGAGCTTGGAGAACTGAGTGATCTCAAGATTCAGTTTGTAGACTTCCTCTGAATCCCCTTGTCTTTTCTGACGGCCAACCTCCTACCCTCTGCCGGGTTATCTCCCAGTGGAATTTTTCTTACTCAATCTCTCCATATAGTAACCCTCTTGCTTTCTGTCAGGTGGGCAAGGGGCTGTTGCCCAGCTGTGCAGTCTGGGCAAGGGGATCTGCTTTGTGTCTACTCCTTATTCACACTTTTAATAAACCCCCACCCACTGCTTTTAGCCCACCCTTCATTGTGCCTGCAGAGGTGCCTGACACCTCCAGTTCCCAAAGTTTCCCAGGGTTCTCTGGGGGAGAATTGGCTCATTTCTTGTTGACTAACCTCCTGAGATCACTTGCCTGAGTAAGAAAAGCTAAAAGCCTCTTACCCATCCATTCCCACCCTAAGCATTAAGGGATGATCTTATTTGGTGCTGCTAGATGGGATGGAGTTTTTACATTGCCCGAGAATATGGCATTGGGGTAACATGAGGAATATGGACAGACATTGACCTCCCAGGGAGCTCTCGACTGATGTGTAACAATGCAGAATGTTTATACAAACCTCCCTTGGTATCCTTGAGGGATTGGTTCCAGCATCCCGCCTCCACAGGGTACCAAAGCCCATAGATGCGCAAGTCCTTTATATAAAATAGCATGGTATTTGCATCTAACCTATGCATGGCTTCCTGTATACTTTAAATCATCTCTAGATTGTTTATGATACTGAATACAATATAAATGCCATGTAAGTAGTTGTTATATTGTATTATTTTTATTGGTATTATATTTTACTGTTATCCTGTTATTTTTTATGTTTTCAAACATTTTCCATCCATAGTTGGTCAAATCTGTGGATGCAGAACCTGCGAGATAGAGGGCTGACTATGTATATCTGTAGTCCATACAGCCTTATAAAAGTGCATGGGGAAGGGAGACTGGGAGTGGGCTGCGGAGTGTGCCTAGAGGTGAAGAAGTAGGTGTGGTGCATGAGATGTGTTGGTTTGCCCTCATCCTCTGGAAGGAAAGCAACTCTAGGCAGCACATCTGTGGGCACCGATTCTTCTGGGGCCCAGCCAGAAGCTGGAACTCACGGTCGTTGGCTCCTTGATCCCCAGGTGGTCCTGCCATTGTGGCTGTCCTCTGCAAAGGTCTCCTCACTCATTGAGAGAATCTCTGACCCCAAGGACTTGAAAAAACTGCTCAGAACCCGGAATAATGTACTGGTGCTTTACTCCAAATCTGGTGAGTGTCCCTTCCCAGCCTTGAGGTCAACCATCGGGGTAGGATGGGATTCAGGGGAAGGAAGGGGGTGGACATGGAAAGCAGGAGACCTTAGGATGAAAACCACTCAGGGAGGGTCCAAGGGACTTGGGGTTTGTCAGCTTTCCTCAGAAGACAGAGGCAGAGGCATACAGGAGCATTAGCTCTGCCGCTTTCTGATCCCAGGGGTGGTTCCGTTTCTTTTTATGAGTGTTGGGAAAGCCCTCTGGAGCCCCTCACTCCTCAAGAGGGAGAGGGCGTGTGTGAAGTAGGATGGAGGATCACAATAGCGGGCACTGGGGATGGATGTCCTGGCTTCCTGCACAGGCATGGGGCCGATCCCTGCCAGGGCACACTTTGCCAGAGCTGTTGATTTACTGGCCAGGCCGGCCTGTTGCCAGCTGAATGGGCCCCAGGCTCGGGAGCACTCACCCCAGCTGGCAGCCCTGGCCCTGCCAAGCCCATCTGTCCTGCTCTGGGGTCAGATGCAAGACTGAATTTGGAGTGGGCTCTAAGCTTGGGACACAGCATTTCTTGGGGGCAGGAGCAGCAGCCTGCCTCTCTTCCGACCTTGAGACTGGCAAGGACATAGCAGATGGAGAGAGGTTTGCTTGGCTCTTGGCAGTGACTTTGGGGGAGGGTGAACACTGACTCCGTTGAAGTTGTTCCAGCGGAGTTAAGTGTTTTTTGCTGCTTCTAAGGATGCCAAGTTTTCTGTGGCCCTGGAGAAGCAGCAGCCAATGGCTGGGCCGGTTCCGGGCACAGGTTTCCCCGGCAGCTCGGCCTCAACCCTCACTGGCACCTGGGGGATGATAGAGGCTCCAGATGTGCCTGCATTCTCCAGGCATCCCTGGCATGTGGGATGTCTTCATTACCACTTGCGGCTGCTGCTTCCCCTTCTGAGGGTCTGACGCACATACCCCGAGTGCATTGTTGGGAGCGCAGCATGTGACTAGCATTTCTCTGCTGTCACCTCTCAGGAATAGAGGTGAAATCAAGGGAAAGGGAAGCAGTGTACTCTTGAGGCCTGGGGCATAGGGCCCTGAAAACATGTGGCTTGCTGCTTTGGATACTCCTGGAGTTGGAGCTAGGATGATTGTCAGTGATAGACATGTTCCATTCCTTCTCTAGGGTAGATCCCACCATATAAGCTCATCATAATACAGTCTCATTTGCTCCTTTGCCAGGAGGGAGGCAGTGCGGGTTGTCAGAGGACATCCAGTGTACATATGAGGAAATGGAAGCTGGGAGTAGCAGACTCGTTTGAGATCTCCTAGCAGCAGGTGGGAGCTGGTCCCCTATGCCCCGCTGCCTCTTATTTTCTCTGATGGAGGATGGGAAGAGAGTATTGATTCTGCAATGAGAGAAGGGCTTTGAGATCAGAATGGGGCTGAGGCCGAAAAATCATTAGGGAGTTAGAGAGTGGAAAGGTGGGGCCTGTTGTCAGGAGCTTGCAGGGCAGGAGGTAGCGCCTAAGCTCTCTTTCCCTCACCCCACCCTGTCTCGAGCCATTGCGAGTAGAGGCCCTGGTGCTTCCCACTTGTCAGCCTACCTCCTGCTTTCATTGCCTGATGGGGCCTGGGCAATTATTTTAACTTCCTGCCTCCTTGCCCAGGCCTGCTGCACAAGAGACATGTGACCTTCAGTGGGATTTTGAGCAGTGCAAAAACTGGATTTTCTTTGCCCCCTCCCATCCTTCCAAGCAGTGCCTCCCTTTCCACGGCTGAAGTGCAGGTTAGGGCAGGGGGTACTTTATCTTGCTCTAGTTTATTTCTCCCCCTCCCCTGCTCCCCAGAACCCAGTCAGAGCAGTGAAACAATGGCTTCCCCACTTCAGTGGCTTGCCCTCCTCCTGTCACCCTGGCCGTGGTTTCCTGGGAGTGCCTCCTCCGAGTGACTCCGTGCATGTCTCTTGAGCGATACTTTTGTTTGCTTCTGTGAAAGGCTCAGCATGCTCTGTATTCACAAACAGCTACCATTATCCACACTAGAAAAGGCGATCTGTGGAGGCACATGATTCAGACATCATTTCTGCTTGGCGTGGGGATGTATCATACGGTTTCTGGCGGGAGAAAGCGGCAGATCGCTCTCCCCACCAGTCTTTGTCTGGCAGGACTTTCAAGTGAGCTCACAGGTGTCACCTAGGAGAATGTGACTCAGGAGCCTGCTGGCCATAGGAATCAAACACTGGCCACAGCCACTTTGCAGTGGATCATTGCCGGCTGGCAGTGCTGAAATCCTGGCCACAGAGGCTCTGTCCCTAAGACCCTGCCCTCCCACAGTAGTATCCGGGTGCCTTGCCCTGACCCATCAGGATTGACACCTGCACCAATGAGAAAGTCTTCCTTTCTTGCGATCACTCCATCCTGTCCCAAGGCGTGGTCCACATTCCTGCAACTGACTCCTGGAGGTGCTGTCAGGACCAGCTCTTGCCCCGTGGCTTCTGGGGAAGTGGGCTGTTAAATGGGGCTTAGGTGTCTTTGGCATTGGCCCATCAGAGCCTAGTGTCACGTATAGACCTCATTTTACCACCAGGTTGTACTGAGCTCCTAGATAAGCGTGTGCTCCACAAGTAAAGGAAGGATCTGACCCCAGCTCTCGTCAGCTCCTAGGTGGGGTGCCAGGACATTTGAACATGGAGTCAGCAGCATCATTCCCTGCTTTAGTTATAGGATTGTCATTGTTTATGGAATTTTCAAAATGTATCCCAGAAAGACATGAGTCAGAGACTTTACTGGCCTTGAGGATCTGGCTGAGAGATTCTTGGAAGAGTAAGGTGTGAAGTGTGGATTAAGGCAGGGTGACTTGGGGGTTCTGTGTCCAAGAGGAAGGCCCCTGAGGATGGTGGGATCAGGGGTTTCTGAGAAGAGCCAGGACTATTCTTGCAGCACAGGCCCTGGCACTGTTGAGTGCAGGGATGGGTGTTTTACCTGGTGCTCAGGACTTTTCCACCCGCTCTGGGATTGGTCTCCATCCTTCCTCACCTCTGAGGGAAGATGGCAGAGGTGACCCAGTGCCTTTGGGCACAGATGTTTAATTTTCTGTTTTTTTACAGAGGCGGCAGCTGAAAATCATCTCAGGTTACTGTCCACAGTGGCCCAAGCGGTGAAAGGACAAGGCACCATCTGCTGGGTGGACTGTGGGTATGTGCTGGGGCCATGTGCCATGTGGCTGCTGGGCAGGGGGCACTTGGGGCTTTGAAGGGTGGGGACGGGAACTGTCCCTTGACTAATAATCTGGGAGGGAGTATGCGATGGAAAGGTTCCCTCTAGTGATACTTCAAGGTCACTCTGGACTGGAAGAGTGGTGTCTGGCTTTCCACCCCTTTCTTCACAGCCCAGCCCCCTTTCTTCCCTTTTTCCATAGAGATTTCACTTTCTTCTATTTCTATGTGTTGCTTTCTTCTGTCTTCCTAGAGGGAGGTGAGTGGCAGAGGGGGCCTTCCTGTCTTACAGAGGGTGGCCTTGATACCCCGAGAGGCAAGGTGATTTTCAGGGTTACCCAGCAGGTTTGCCTGTGGTGGGTCTGCAGCAAGAACCATGAGCTTTACCCCCAACCCAGGACATTACCACTAGATGCCTCTGCTGCCCAACATGCAAAGGTAGAATCAGTGGGTCGAGCTGCCTGTACCTTGGCTTCTGAGGGGGCCCAGGCCTGTAAAGGTCTTCTAAATCTTTAATGTAGCTATTATTGCCTGAGTAATACGCCCTGTTACTACCCTGCAGGTTAAGTGAACATTTATGGTACCCACCCCAGTGTAATCCTCTTCCTCTTCAGTCTGAGTTCTAAATGGTTACTTTTCAAGTGAATTTTTGGGACACAACTGATTTATAAGTTGATGACCTCAGGTTTGTTCTGCCTGTGATTAGAGAGCATTGAAGGAGATTCATATTTTGGCAAAACACTGAGTGAAACTAGGATAATAAGTCTTAGCCAAGTGGTGTGTGCTGTAGAGGGCGTGCGTGTGTGTGTGTGGCCTTATACTTCCAGATTCATTCAGATACTAACTGAACAGAAAAGGCTGCTCACCAGGCAGTAGGTGAGATCTTAGCCATTGGTTAATTCTAGTTCATAGTTGATCCGAAAGGGTGCTTGCCTTCCAGGCATCTCTCTGTCTCCCATATTTGACCAGCTGTGCTCTGTGTGACTGGCAGAGTAACAAAGCCTGTTAGATGGAGACAAGGCACTTTGGAATTTCCATATCTGGAGATGACAGCAGTTCTGCCAAGCTGATGGAGGTTTATTGTAGGGAGTTCTTACAAGGCTTGTAGGTGGCAGAAATGGGCAGAGGAGCTTTGACTTAGTTGCTATCTCCACCTGGGTCCATGTAACAGACATTACTGGGCATTTACTACGTGCTTTGAGAACACACAGATGGATAACGGCATCCTCAAGGAGCTCAGTATGTGAGGAGAGGGCAGACACTTAGCCCAGTGATTCCAATGTCAGGTGAACAGTGCCACAAACACAGACTATATATATGGAAGGAGAGCCCCTCCATTCTGCCTGGAAAGGTTGAGAAAAGCTTCACAGAGGAGGTCGTGTTCACATTTGGTGCAAAGACCTCAGAGCACAATACCACATGCTCACAGTGCCCTGGCTTTCCCTGCAGGCGGCCACCTATGGAGTGGACCCCTAGAACTGCCTGTGGAGGTGAAAGGCCTGCTGCTGTCCCTGAGTAGCCTGGAAAACATGCAACGCAAGGTGCCTGAGTGAAATGGGGTCGGGGTAGTGGGTGAAGACAGACTATGGAGATTCAACTTCAGGACTCAAGTTTGGAAACATGATGTCTGGAGTCAATAAAAGTGCCAATGAGAACATCCTGTGAATTTCCACGTGCTCAAATTAAAATTGGGGCAGGGAAGCACCTTGGAGCTTGAAAGAGTTAACCCGAAGACGGAAGGATGGACTATTCCATGTAGTTGCCTTACTCTGTTGAATTTATTCCTGTAAGAGGAAATAGAAACTGAAATGTTAGATAGCTTTTAAAATAGTGTGGATAAGTAGGTGAATTATGGAGCCAAAGTGGATTAAGTTGGACTCAGGAATATCTGGGTGTGAGTTTGAAATTAGAGGCAGGGTGCAATCTTTCCTGAGTAGCCCAAGGTTCAGAACTCTGGGCTGTGGCCCAGGTAGGCCACTCTGGGTGGCAGCTGTCACGAACCACTGTTGGAAAAGGAGATCTCCGAGAACTCAGCTCCTGCCCTCCAGCTCATTCACTCCTGCTTCTAAACTTGCCTGGAATCATCAGGACATGGGGAGCCTCTGTGTTCGCTCCACAGAGCCCTGCAATGAGAGCTCTCGCGGTTGTCCTAAGTGTGTCCAGTCCATTCTGTGGGTCTGTGAATGAGACACACCCAGGGATGGGCAGAAGTGCCGTTGGGAACTTTGCTTTCTGGTGCTGTGTGCTGAGAAGCGAGTAGGTGGCACGGGGTGCCTTCTTTATCCTTGTCACTGTAAAATAGCAGGTAGCCAGCCAGAGCTCACCTCCCTCAAATGGGCCCTGCTGAGGCACCCATCTCTCATCGTTTCCAGCTCCACTTCCTGCCCTGCCCACGAAGGGTTGGTGGCTAGGATGGGGACAGGGCTTGGGGTTGGGATGACCAGGAAGGTCAGGAGTACACAGGCCACCCTGCTTTTCCCTTTAAAAGGCAGGTGAGGGGAACAGGGAGCATCTGGGGTGAGAGAAGATGCTACTCCAGTGTCAAGGTGTCTTTGCAGGCGTGTGGAATAAAAGAGAAAGCCTTGGGCTTAGGAGGGGGCCCGGGCTGACTGCTGACTAGTTAGTTAGCTGCGCTGCTCACTAGCCCTGTGACACCAGGCAAGTCGGTCACCCTGAGTCTGTTTCCTCAGCTGTGAAATGGGACAGCGATACACGTTCTGCCTTCTTTCCAGGTCTGTGATAAGGATCGGGTAAATGAAAGTTCTTTCTAAAATAGGAAATACAATTTAAATGTGAGACACCGTTCTCCTAGTGTTGTTTTTCATCTAGACAAGTTTGTTCAGGAGGAAGCTGGAGGGGGAGAAATGGTATGCTTGTTCACTCAGCAACTGTTTACTGGGTGAGGACCCCTTGGTTCTTGTAAGGATGAACCTGAAGAAGGTTTTGGGCATGGGAGTGAGCCCCAGGCCATGGGTGTTTTGCTCTGACCCTTAAGAAGTACAGGGTGCAGGCTGGGCACAGTGGCTCACACCTATAATTCCAGCTCTTTGGGAGGCTGAGGCAGGTGGATCACCTGAGATCGGGAGTTCGAGACCAGCCTGACTAACATGGAGAAACCCCATCTCTACTAAAAATACAAAATTAACTGAGCATGGTGGTACATGCCTGTAATGCCAGCTACTCGGGTGGCTGAGGCAGGAGAATCACTTGAACCCAGGAGGTAGAGGTTGCGGTGAGCCGAGATCGCACCATTGCACTCCAGCTTGGGCTACAAGAGCAAAACTCCATCTCAAAAAAAAAAGTACAGGGTGCAGTGGAATTTGTAGGACTAAAGGTCAGGAGACCCAGCTTTGAGTCTAGGCTCTGACATCAAATAGCTGTGGGGTCTTTGGCAAGTCACTGCCCCTCTCTGGGCTTCAGTTGAATCTTCTGGGAAATGTGGGGTTGAGTCTTCCAAGTTGCTCTCATCCCTAAATAGCCTGGTTCAGAAAATGCTGGAAGCTTCCAGGCTTGGTGTGTGTGTGTTATAAGCATGGTGGTGGGTGCGTGCCTTCTAGTCTTTGAGGGGGGTCTTTTTCTCTTTGTGCCCCTCCCTCCCCATTCCCCATTTTGGAAGGGTACGTATCCTTCTCTCTGAGGTTCTCTCCTGTCTCCCTCTTTTCTCTCCCCTTATTAGGTTTCTGTTCCCTTTTCCCAATCCTGAGTCCAGGACTCCCTGCAACCTTGCACGGCCCTTTTTGTTTTTGAGACAGTCTCTGTTGCCCAGGCTGCAGTGCAGTGTCACAATCCCAGTACATTGCAGACTTGACCTCCCAGGCTGAAGCCTTCCTCCCAGCTCAGCCTCCCCAGTAGGCGCATACCACAATGCTCAGCTAAGTTTTGTATTTTTTTTGTAGAGACCAGGTTTTGCCATGTTGCCCAGGCTGGTCTTGAACTCCCAGGCTTAAGCAATTCACCTGCCTCTGCCTCCCAAAATGCTGGGATTACAGGCATGTGCCACCGTGCCTGGCCTGGCCTTCTTTTGGCCTCTTTTCTCCTCTCTCCTTTCTATATGGATATTTCTTTTCCTTTTCTTTTTTTAATTTTTTTGCTTTTCTGGCTCTTTCCTCCCTATTCCTCTATGCGCACCTGCAGGAACACACGAACACTTCTCCGCTGGTTTTCTCCCTGCTCCAGGTCCTGTAACTTGTTGCTCTGGGGTGTCTGTAGGGCGTCTGACTTCTGTCCAGGGTTTTGTCAGCTTTCCTTCTCCCTCACTCCACTCCTGGCTCAGACCTCAACAGCCACGCTCAGTCTGGCTGGTGGTTGTCCGGCTGTTAAGCGGGTTGTGTGTGCGGGAGTTGGTATTCCCCTCGTGCCCTGCCAGCTGGGCGCTGGGCTCGGGCTTGGCGTGGAGTGCTGCTGTCTGGGAAGTTGAGCTGGAGCCAGCATGGAGCTGTGCCTGGTTTGCTAATTCCTGAGGCTGCATCTCACAGGGGGCAAGGCTGTCCTATCAGGTGTTTGCTACTTTCTTTTCCTTAAGGCTTAGGGTCATTGCTTAACTACATCTGCTTTCTTCCCTGCCCTTCTCCCCATCTGCTTGATTTCTCTGGAGTGGTGACAGCTTCCCAGGTGTAAGATTGGGGACCTGCCAGAGCAGGCATAACATATTTTGAAGACTTATGTTTTCTCCTAAAAACTATTTGAATTTAGCATTTGCTCCTCAGCATGTTCAACATTACTTCCCCAGGGGTAAAACAGACTCCCAGAAGAAGTGCCATGTTTAATCTTGTGGCTTCAGATACCTTCCAGCACACCACCATGCACTTGTTGGAGTGACACATCCCCTTGAGGAGCAGAGCCTTAGAATTGCTGGGCTGGGAGGGCAGCGGAAGGGAGGCACCTTACATGTCTTCAGAAAAGCCATGTTCCTCTCTTTTTTTCCCACCACTCTTACTAACTGTACTGTGTAATCCGGACCCTGTGATGCACCTTCTTGAG